ATCTGAAATATGCTGGCTTAGATTTGGGGCCCTAGCATGTGATAGTTCTGTAAGTTTGTGAGAATCAACCTACCAACTAGAATTTGGTATTTTAAATAAAGTTCTTTTTCCTCTCTAGCCATTTAATCAGTCTCCAAATCTGGACAAATTGACCCAGATTATCTCCTCCCTCTTCGTTATACATCTATTTAATTTTTACATTCCTATTGACCATGGGTGACAATTCCACTTACTGTCTCATCTGTCAACCTTCCATCACTGAAAAAGAAAGCCTGAGGTAGTCAACTTATACAAAGGAAAGGGTTTTTTGTTTTGTTTTGTTTTGTTTTGTTTTCTTACCACTTAGGAAGCTCTGATCCATGGCCACTGTCTTTGAAGCCATGTCAGGGCAGGACAGCATGGCAGGGCCCTGTGGGGGAGGAAATCTGTTTCCACAGAGGCAGTGTGAAAAAGAGAGAGGATAAGGGTGGGGACTCACAACCCACTTCAAAGGAATGTCCTCACGACCTGCTGACATCCCACAAGGCTCTGCCTCTTAAGGCTCTGCCATCTCCCCTGTTGTTTGCAAGCATGACACAATTTCTGATCTCTCTTATTTGAGAAAGCTCATTTTATTGCCCTGAATATGTTCTGTTCGGTTGAAAGTCCCTGGGAAGAGAGTGTGCTCTGGCCGGGATGTCTATAAACACTAGTAAGTCAAATTGTCACTAGTATTGCTCAAGCCATCTGCATACAAATTTGATGGTTTTCTTCCGGATTGCTCTACCCATCACTGAGAAAGTGGTAAGATCTCCAACTACTACAGAGTATTTTCATGTTTGTGACCTTCCAGCGCTTTCTGTTTTCCTCCATGTGTTTTGAGAAACTTTTGCTTACTGCATCATCTTTGGGAAGTGGCTTCTCCATCCCTTGAAGCCTGGTGACAGCCTTTGAGTTGAAGTTTACTTTTCTAATGCTAACATAGATTCCTCTGATGTTATTTGATGCTCGTGTTCTCTTATTTTTAACCTACTTCTATTTTTATTTTTAAAGTGGAAGTTCAGAGGCATCATATAAATGGGTTTCATTTCTTAATACTCTAACACACTATGTTTTTAAATATTTTGACCATTTATTTAATGTAGTTTTTGCCACTGCTGAATTAAAACCATTATCCTGTAGCTCTTTTAATCTTTCTAGGTTTGTCTAGCATTAATTTTTTTTGCCTTATTTTCCATTTATTAAGTATTTTTGTGATTTCATTTTGTCACTTCTATTGAATTGCTATTATTAATTTATGGTGGTGGTGGTGGTGGTGACAGAATCCCACTGTTCAGCTCTGGCTGGCCTAGAACTCACTATGTAAACCAGGCTGGGCACAAGCTCATAAATGTCTCTCTGCCTCTGCCTCTCTCGGATTAAAGGCCTAGTGTGTTGACTTATTTGTATCTCTTTAAAAAATTTTAAACATCATTGGTATAAGAGCTATACATTTTATTGGTGGGTATGTTATTAAGTAATCAAAACATCCAAACCTCACTTTTCTGCTGCTATGTAGATTATTTATTTCTGTGAAATGTATCTCTCATTATATTATATATCTAACCTATTTATCATCTGCCTGCCATCTGTCTGCCTCTGAATTAAATGGGAGATTAGAGGAGCTAGAGCCAGGTTTTATAAACAAGAATAAATCCAAGTAACCAGATGAAGAACACGGTGTTAGGAGAGTCACTAAAAGCCTTTACTCCGACATAAGCCACAGGGGGCAGCAACGGGAAGAAACGTCAGTGTCTCATGCTAAAGTGGCCTTTGTGGTCTTTTAAGACTAATTCATGGAGCTGGGGAGATGGAGATGGCTGAGGGGTTAAGAGTGCTTTCTGCTCTTCCTGAGGAACCAAGTTTGGTCCTTAGCCCCCACATCAGCCCATAACCTCCTGCAACTCCAGCTCTAGGTGATCTGATGCCTTCCTCTGGCTTCCTCTGGCCCCTTCAGTCACGTGCACAGAATCTCACAGATATGCATTGCTGTGGTTTGAAAGAAAATGGCCCCCAAAGGCCGTGGCACTATTAGGAGGTGTGGCCCTGTTGGAGTAGGTGTGGCCTTGCTAGAGGAAGTCTGTCACTGTGGAGGTGGGCTTTGAGGGCTCATAATATGCTCAAGCCACGCCCCGTGAGGCAGACCACTTCCTGTTGCCTGCTGGTCAAGATGTAGAATTCTCAGCCACCATGTCCCACAATGATGATAACAGTCTGAGCCTCTGAACAATAAGCCACCCCAATTAAGTGTTTTCCTTTATAAGAGTTGCCATAGAAACCCCAATTATGACAGACACACACATAACAAAGATAAACTTTCATGAGAGCTGGCTGCACTTGTCCCCATTGCCCCCAGCATTGCTGGTGGTGAGTTTGTCGCAGCGAATGCCTACCGCTCTCCTACCTCCACTCTCTGCTTCCTCCCCGTCCTGATCCCTTCTCAGCTCCACCTTCATCTCACTTCTCACCTCCTTTACTCATTTCTTTTCACCCTCTTCTGATTTTAATTAATTGACTTTATTAAAACTCAGTTTTTAAGAATAGTCTTTCTAAAACTGCACTTTGCCTTTTCTGTGTACGGATGACTTTGTCCCCACTGCATGTCTGTGCACCATGTGCATGCAGTGTCCGCAGAGGCCAGAAGGAGGCACTGGAACTAGAGTTACAGATGCTTGGGAGCTGCCATGGGGGTGCTGGGAATTGAACCCGGATCTTCTGAAAGAGCAGCCAGTGTTCTTAACTGCAGAGCAATCTCTCCAGCCTCAACAGTTTAACTTTACAGAAAATCTGAGGGGAAAGTTTGAAGGGGTCATGGCCTCCTCACCATGGCCTCCAGTTTCTCCTGTCAGTACGTGTTGCATTGGTGTAGCATTGTGCTGCCAATCAAATTATATTCATATATTTTATTAACTAAAGTCTATAGCTTTACCCCAGGGGTCACTTTTGCTGTTTTGCATTCTGTGGGTCCTGACAAGTGGATGGTAACAGAAACCCACAAATTAGACAGATTATCTTCTTACCGAGAGATTCTTGTGATGGCTGTTCTGGGTTGTCAGCTTGGCTATATCAGAAATGAACTGCAATCCAGAAGCAGAGGGCACACGGTGATCCAGATCTTGAGGCTGGGAGATGCAGGCTTTTGATTCAGCTCTTGAGGTGGGTGACACACAAATTTATTCCAGATCTTGACACAGGAAGACACAGCTATATAAGGACAGTGGGAGAGGGAACGTTTCCTTCTTCTTTGCCTGCTTACCCTCCCCTCGGCAGTACACCCATCCCTTCACGGCATTGGAGCCTGCTGCTTTGGAGTTCCAACATGGAGACACCCAGCCTTGTGGAACTGAGAAACTACTAGATTCTTGCCATTCACAGATAGCCACTGTTGGACTACAGTCTGTCATTCTGATAAATTCATACACGTGCACACGTGCGCGCGCGCGCACACACACACACACACACACAAACACACACACACCGGGGAGGGGATTCATCCCATACGCTCTGTGACTCTAGAGAACCCTGGCTAATATATACAGTTCCTCTCTGCTCCACTGTTCATTCTGATAAATTCACACACACACACACACACACACACACACACACACATACACACACCAGGGAGGGGATTCATCCCATACATTCTGTGACTCTAGAGAACCCTGGCTAATATATACAGTTCCTCTCTGCTCCACTGTTCATTTCTCCCTCTACTTCCCCACGCCCCTGACAACAGGTGATCCTCAAGGTCTTCACAGTTGCCTTTTCCAGGATGCTGCTAAGTTGTGGTCCAGCCCGGAGCCTTTTCAGGTCAGCTTCTTTTGCTTAGCAACTTTCACATAGGCTTCCTCCGGGTCTCCATGCGTCTGGATAACCTGTCTCTTTCTGGTTTCTGCTGTCTGATGCATCACGTTGTCTAACTATCCTCTCACCTACTGAAAGATATCTGTGTTGCCTCTGCATTTGGACATTGTGAACAAAACTGACCTAGGTATTCATGTTTGGGTTCTTGTGCAGGCATAGCAACATGTTTTTAAACAAGGGATGAGAAAGGACTCCCTAGAACAGCAAGTCACAAAGAAAACTGTTGGGGCTGGAGAGATGAGGGTAAGAACTCTTGCTGTGCAAGCATGGGAACCTGAGTTCAAGTTCCGAGCACCCAGATAAAGTCTGGGTGTGACTGAGTGAACCTATGCTCCCAGAACTGGGCGTCAGAGACGGGAAGACCCTGGGGCTCCTGGCAGCCTGTCTAGCAGAGAACAATGATTCAGTAGAGAGCCTGTCTAAAAGCCAAAGGGTGGAAGAGTAGAAGACACCTTCAGTCAGCCTCTTCCGGCCTCCCTGTGCTAACTCAATAGCGCACCCCCACCCCCCCAACCAGACGAAACCCTTAAAATACTGTTTAACATTTCCAGACTGGGCCAAAAGCAAAACAGCAAACTTAAGAGGTAACCAGTAGGGGGCAGTGTTGGCAAGACATTGACAACCGTTACTAAGTAGCATATTCGAACTTAGAGTTTCTAATTCTTTAATTTCTTCCCTAGACCACTTAAAAATTTTGAAATTCTCTCTCTCTCCCCCCCATATGTGTGTGTGAGAGAGAGAAAGACACACACACACACAGAGACGGATAGAGAGAAAGAGAGAAAGAGAGAGAAACAGAGAGAGAGAGAGAGTGAGCACCTGTGAGGGCACATTGTCAAAGAAACAGTCACAGCAGCGTGGTTAGAGCAGCAGAGGCCTGGACCAAAGGCAGCATCACTGTGCTTCCTTCAGCTTGCCTTTCCCTAGGGCACAGACAGGTGTGGCTCGAGGTCATAGGCTTCTCTCTGTGGCTCTGATCCACAAGGATTGGCCTGCAGGTGTTAAGGCTGCTGGACCTAACTTCTCTGAGGAGGCCCTGTGCGGCCTGGGCGGCTCCGAAACTGTCAGTAGCATTCCCTTCTCATGTATGACATATTTATAAAACACACACAGAGGCGGCTTTGAAAGCTGGCCTTGGGTGGGAACATGGTCATGAAAACACATGTACATTATTTCTATTTTAGAGATGATCTTTATTAATTGGCAAAATAAGAGACTGGACAACGTTCTGTAGCTTGTTGTGGGGTACTCTGATCACACGCTGACATTCCTGAGACATCAATAAAGTTGACTTTGAATCAAAGAGCAGAGCTAGCTACTAGTTGACTAAAGTTAGCCATAAACGTTTTAGAGGACAGAGGAAGGAGAGAGAAAGAGAGGTCACTGACTGCCTCTCTGCGCTCCCCTGTTCACTCAGGTTCTTATCCTGATAGCTGACTCCCAAGTTTTTATTGATAAAAATAATTAGATAAACACTTCAACAGCTGAAAGGAGAAATGCCTTCTTACTGGGTCAAAGCCTCCACCTCACTCAACATAATACCTCAAATTATCTCAAAAGTTAAAGTTGTATTAGAGAAGGCTTATGGAAGTCAAGCCTGGCTTTCCTTGCAAAAATGCTTCTTGTGTGTGTCTCTGCACCGGAACGCCCTGCTCTCCACACTCAGCTGGGGCCCGAGTCACTCATATCCCACCTTCCTGCTTAGACTTTCTTAAACCATCTGAACTTGGGACTGAAGGGATGGCTCAGTAGTTCAGATAGTCTTTATCACTGTTTATAGCTCCAGTTCCAGGGGATCTAGCAGCCTCTCTGACTTCTGCAAGCACTAAGCATGTGTAAAGGGCATTTACATGCATGCAGGCTTACACAAAAAATAAAAACAATTATCTCGACTCAAACATACCAGGAAGTGGGGGACCTGAATGGCTTTCCAGAGAGGAGATCTGGCTCACCCTAGCAATCCTGAGCCCAGCAGGGCAGCAGGAAGGGACAGAAGGGACCTGGGATTCCCTAAACGCTTGTTGCTTTGCCTAAGTCAGACCACTGCTTGGGTCACTAGCTCCATGGTTCCTGTGGAGACGAGATCTGCCCAGGTGAGAAAATCTAAGCTCTGTCCTCCCACATTCTCCCCAGAAGCCAGGGTACCCTAGCCTGGCTCAAGCGTGGTACCCGCTGGTTTGTCCAGTGGGGCCCGGAAATCCCCTTTAGTCTCCACTGTAGGCAGACGTGGATGAAGGGGCCGGGAGATGCACACTCTCTGCCTGGCCCAGAAGGGAGAAGCTGGAGGCTTGGGATGCCGTGCTTCTAGGCTTCTCTACTCTCTTAGTCTTGTAGAGATTGAGTCCTTCACAAGAGCATCTCAGCGGTGTGGGCGACGAGGGTGGGGCAGGAAAGAGAACTGGCTTTTATTTAAAAAAAAAAAAAAAAAGCAACCTCTTCCCCGTAGCCCTCTGAGCACAGCTTTGCCGAGAAACCTGTGCACACCGCTCTTTCCTGTGCCCGACGGATGCCGTCTTTCTCCCTCTGGCAGACAAATTTTGTGAGCTGCTTTTTGTTTGTTTGTTTTTTTTTTCTTCTTCTCATAGCTCTTGTATTTTCATGAAGAGATTGAAAGCAAATGTGAGGGACTGCCTAGGACAGGAAGGTGCGTCACAGCGCGTGTAGACCTTGAACTGAAAGATCCTCCAGCACCTACCAGGTAACAGGGCTCCCGTGTGTGTGTACATGTGTGTGTGTGTGTGCATGTGCATGCAGCGTGTATGTGTGTATGTGTGCGCGTGCATGCAGCGTGTGTGTGTGTGTATGTGTGTGTGTTTGCACGCATGTGCAAACTTTCTTCTCCCCGACTCACCCTTAATTCTACCAGTAACAATTAGTGTCGACCTGAAGGGCAAGGCACTTGATCTCTTTACTATAGGAAAAGTTGGGGAGGCCATAGCATCTTGTGCCCCAAGGATTCTCCCAGAGGACTTCTGGCCTGTCTGTGGAAGCTCAGTGGGTTTTCTCTCTCAAGATGACAAGCCTAATACCCGACTAGGGGCTCAGGGGAGGGTGGACTCTTAGAGACTCTGTTTCCTGCCAGGAGTTTCCAGGGAGGGAGAGGAATGGGCTTCCTTTCTAAAGTAATTCCCCCGGGACTCTGCAGCCAGGCTGTGTTGAGTGTCTGGAGGCTAGGGAGGAGCTGGCAGAGGGGAAGTCACTCTTCAGGACAGGGCAGCCATACTTCCTGTGACCTGGGAAATTAGTGTCGGGGCTGGAAGATGGAGCACTGGCCTCATGAGTGATTTGAAATCCCCACACTATTCATGGTCCAGAAGGAATTCCAGACTCCCTTAGGAACATCTGCTCCATCCAGTCCGGGGCAGGAGCCCTTCCGTGGGTGAGAATGCTCTGAAGCTTAGGTTCTCACTGCAGGAGAGCAGGGACATCTCACCTCATCTTCTGTCACCCTCCACCTGCATTGACACAGGGGCTCACTCGAGCGGCTTCACCCACCACTGCCTAGATTGGCTAGAGGGATCTAAAGGAGCCCAGGGACCTGCCTGCCTCTATACCACCTCGTCCCCCAGTGCCAGGGCTGTGGATGAACACAGTCACACTCATCTCTTCTGGGGGCTCTGAGAACACAAACTCCACTCCTCGTGTATGAGCCTGAGGCGTCCCCCAGTCTCTCTATGGTGTCTATGGAGACAAGGGCCCATGAATCTGGTGCTCACCGATTGGCTGGACTGGGTGTCCCATCCCCCATCCCCTGGAGTTTTCATCTTACTTCTTTCCCGTCGCTTTCCTTTCTCTTGGTGAGTGTTCACAGTGCTGGACAGGAGGAAATGCCTTTCTTTTTAAAGATGGAGAAGGTGTCAGGGTGCTACTCAGGTTGATCTGTTCACATAAAGCATTCGATTTTTGTGTTTTAGTTAAACTTTTAAAACTTGTGTTTTAGATATACTTAAAAAAAAAAAAAAAAGGAAAAGATCAGGCAAAGCAACCAGAACTAAGTTATAAGCAGGAAAGATTGCTCCTGGAAGTGACCCCTATGGCCCGTGCACAGTGGTTTATCTTTACAGCCTGTAGTGTTTTTCTGATCAGGGACCATTTCTCTTCAAGATGCAGTGGTCAAGGACACGGGAGAGAATGGTAGGATGCCTTTTGTCAGATGAGATTAAGACAATCCACTCCAGGCCCACATTTGCGACCTTCCCGCAGTGTTTCCAAGCGTGGCCTAAACCTGATCTCTCCTCTAGTCTCTCCCAGTCCTGGGCAATGCCAGGGAGCGCGCCCTAGGAGGGCACTGGGAAGCCCTTCCAGTTTTGCTAGCTCTGAGGTCCAACCAGGGGCAGGAAATACCGGATGCACACCCACCAGTCCTTCCACTGACTACTTAAAGATGTGCGGAAGGACTGACGGCTGTGAGGTGGGTGGGGCGGGTTGATGGCTGGCTTCCAGTGGGCTGGGGGAAGGCACAGAGCTGTCCCAGGAGGGTGGGGCTTAAAATAAGATCCCCCAAGGGGACAGAAAGCAAAGAGGGTGCAATCTGGAAATAGAAAAGGTGACCTTCGCTGGAAGTGTGTGGGTTCCAACTAGAGAAAGCACAGTAGAGGGAAACTCTGAACATTTGAGACGTCCTCAAGTCTAAAGAAGGTTTAAGAAATGGGAAAACCCCTGATGCTTCTGCCCTTGCTTTCATTTCCCTTTCTGATAAGACTGGATCCTGAGACAGCAGCAGTTTAAGGCTTTTACTTTGGGGGAATGACCCGCTACCTGTTGCTTCCAAAGGTGCCATATGAGTAGTCCTGCCTGAGAGAGCACTGGTCAGCACCTAGGGGCAACAGGCTGCACGGAGGGAGACCCCATCCTATCAGCCTAAGTTGGGGACACACTACCCAGGAAGCTGTGGTTGTATCACCCTTGCTCTTTCGTGCAGTGTTGTGCGGCCTGGTTTAGCCCAACCTCCAGAGTCTTGGTCTCCTCACAGGACTGTAAAGCAGCACAGGGCCTTCAAAGTACCCAGATCTTGGCTTAGAAACATCAACACCACCCCCTTCACTCCTTTCTGTAGCTGGCTGCACATGCGCCCTCCTACCCTTGAAGGTACTGGCCTCCACAGCCTCTTACCTGGGCCTTGCACTTCCCAGCATGGCTATAAGGTGATCTGCATACAACAGCCCCCATAGCAGCGTCTGCATTTCTGTCTGATCAGATTGCGGGCCCAGCAGCCCCCGCCAAGCTGAGATAGACTGACCCTCTCTGAAAACCCCCGAAAGGGCAGGACGACAGTTGGTGCTCAGGACCAGGTCTCCAGGTGAAAGCCCTCCCCTGAGATACACAACTAGCAGTTTTTCTGAGACCTGTGAGAGTTATGGGCATTCGTGTGACCAGATTAGATTAGTTTCTGTGGGACTGGCTGCCGAGCAGAGGGGCCAAGAGACAGGGAGTTGCTGGCCCAAAGGGAAAAGACCCAAGAAATGGGGACGCATGATGTGGTCACAGGGACAGACTCAGAGTCATAGCTACGTCTCCCCTGGAGCTAAAACATCTTCAGCACGAACGACAAAGCAGTTACTGAGATGAATGCTGGGTTCTGGCCTTCAGTATCAAAATTAAAGGATCCCAAATTTGCTTATTAATTTATGTTTCTTGCCCAGTTGGTGTCTGGCCAGTCTCAGATGTAGAGAACGCCTAGGAAATGCATCTATTCCCAAACGTGCTTTGGTCTAAAAAATGTGCTGACTCACCAAAGACCTGAGATTCTGTAATTAGAAGTTCATTTTCAGGCCTGTTTTGGTGATTCTTGGTTGTCAACTTGACTACATGTGGAATTAATAACACTCAAATTGCTGGGCACACCCGTGAGGGATTTTTTTCTTAATTAAATTCTTTAATTTAGATCTGATCTGGATTTTTGAGGTGGGAAGGCCACCTTTAATCTGGGTCACCCCTTCTGCTGGTGTCCTACAGAGAGGACGTGGAAGAAGGAAGCTCTCTCTTCGCCTGCTGGACCCCGCTCTCACCAGCGAGTCCATCCCTTCCCTGGCCTCGGAGCCTGCGGCTGGATTCCAGTGTGTCAGGAAGACCAGCTGAGACATCAGCCTCGTGGACTGAAGAACTAGTGGATTCCTGGGCTTTCCATTGTTAGACAGCCATTGTTGGACTAACTGGACCCCAGCATGTAAGCCATTCTAATAAATTCCCTTCTTATTCCACATATACATAACATATGGGATAGAATATATGTTTAATGTGTATATGTTTGGTAAGTTCTGTTCCTCTAGAGAACCCTGACTAAAACAAGGCCTGCTCCTGGAACCTGGCTCCAGGAAACAGAAGCTTTGACCAAGCAGGGCTCTGCATTGCCTTTGGAAGGTCTGTGCAGGTACCTTCCAGCGAGGAAGCTAGGAAGTCATTTTCCTGTGGATCCCCTGCCTGGTACAGGAGGTGGGGAGAGTGGGGCAGGACAAGGATCAGGAGAGGCTTGCGAGGAACAGCGCAGAAGGAAAGGAAGGGCCCTGCAAGAGAGGTACCCTCAGCGTGTCTCCAGTCCAGGGCCACTATGACCCCAGGAGCAGAGGGGACACTGTGACCCCAGGAGCACAGGGGCCTCTATGACCTTGGGAGCACAGGGGCCACTATGACCTTGGGAGCACAGGGGCCACTATGACCTTGGGAGCACAGGGGCCTCTATGACCCCAGGAGCAGAGGGGCCACTGTGACCCAGCACAGGGGCCACTATGACCCTGGGAGCACAGGGGCCACTATGACCCCAGGAGCAGAGGGGCCACTGTGACCTTGGGAGCACAGGGGCCACTATGACCCTGGGAGCACAGGGGCCACTATGACCCTGGGAGCACAGGGGCCACTATGACCCTGGGAGCACAGGGGCCACTATGACCTTGGGAGCACAGGGGCCACTATGACCCCAGGAGCAGAGGGGCCACTGTGACCTTGGGAGCACAGGGGCCTCTTTGACCTTGGGAGCACAGCACACTGGCTGTGCAGCTGCAGGGCTTAGCCTTTCCTTGTGTCCTGGGTGCACCCATTACTCCCCAGTCTGACCCAACAACAAACCCTATTCCTGGGTGAACAACTGGTCCTGGTTTGCCTGGGGCTTTCCCAGTTTGGACAAAGTCCTGCGGTCTGGACTCAGCTAAGCTCTGGGCAGGGCAGGAGGGACCGTTGCCACGGAACAAAATAAGAATTACATTTGTAGGCGGTGGTGGCGCACGCCTTTAATCCCAGCACTCGGGAGGCAGAGGCAGGCGGATCTCTGTGAGTTCGAGGCCAGCCTGGTCTACAGAGCTAGTTCCAGGACAGGCTCCAAAGCTACAGAGAAACCCTGTCTCGAAAAACCAAAAAAAAAAAAAAAAAAGAATTACATTTGTCTCTTGGAGATGCTAGGGGCAGGGAGCAGCCTCTAGTACTAGGTTCCCACAGAGCCCCAGACATCCATGTGCTCAGTAGGAAATAGTGACTGTTGTTGTGGGCACACAGCCTACTTTCCTTCTGCCTGTGGCTGAAGACAAGTCATGGTGACGATGACACATGACCACATTACACGTACCTTCTTCGTGGGTCTTTCTCCTTTGGGTCATTTAGAGCTACCCGTAAGGACATGCTTGTGACTCCAGTGGTTCCTTCTTTGGTCTGATGTCCCTTTCTACAGGATATAGTGTTTGGTGCTGCGTATCATGTCCAAATCCAATATGAACACTCTTTGTATATTTTCCCTTCTAGAAATAAAAAAATGGAGATGCTTCAGACAGGTGTAAAAGGTACCTTCCCCACAGGTAAGACTCCTGCTGGGGGTGGGACTCTTTTCAACAGTCAAGGACCACGGCTCAGTGCCTAGACAGGGATGGGCTTCCTTTCATACACCTACAGCAAGGCAAATGGACCACCAGATAACTGAATGTCTTAGGCCATTAGCTGGCATGCTTCCTAAGGCAAGGGCAAGTTCCCCAAGATAAAACCTTACCATCCTGTAAAAGAGAGACCAGGGATGGTGGGAGGAGATGAAGATAAGGGACAGACAAACAGAATGGCCAGCGCTAGACTGCCCTGAGCTATCTGCTCACCACTTCAGACCTGGACAGAAACAAAGTCCTGGAAGTATAGTAGGAACTGGGTTGATGAATCCCTAGGGGAAGATGCCCTGGACTCTGACCGCCAGGAGCATGAATCCCTAGGGGAAGATGCCCTGGCCTCTGACCTCCAGGAGCATGAATCCCTAGGGGAAGATGCCCTGGCCTCTGACTGCCAGGAGCATGAATCCCTAGGGGAAGATGCCCTGGCCTCTGACCGCCAGGAGCACTTTATCCCACAAACGCGTGTGTGCTGTGTGGTGGATGTGAGTGGTTAAAGCAGAGGGGCAAATCCTGATTGGTTTGCGTTAGTTCCTGTTGGTTTTTTGTCCTCTTCTTTATGAATCATTTCTGACGCCTGAGCTTCCCTTTACCCCCAAAGGCAGAAAGGAAGATGGCTGCACCCCAGGGTCAGGGCCCCTGAGGATCCTCTTGGTGGGTGTATCTGGCTGCGGGAAAAGTGCCACAGGGAACAGCATCCTCCGCCGACAAGCGTTCGAGTCCAGGCTCAGAGCTCAGTCAGTGACTAGGACCAGCCAGGCAGAGACGGGCACATGGAAGGGAAGGAGACTGCTAGTGGTAGACACGCCCCCCATCTTTGGGTCAAAGGCCCAGAACCAAGACATGGACAAGGACATTGGAGATTGTTACCTGCTGTGTGCCCCAGGACCCCACGTGCTGCTGCTGGTGACCCAGCTGGGACGCTTCACAGCTCAGGACACCCTAGCCGTGAGGAGGGTGAAGGAGATCTTCGGGGCAGGAGTCATGAGACACACGATCGTCCTCTTCACCCACAAGGAAGACCTGGCAAATGAGACTTTGGATGAGTTTGTGACCCACACTGACAACCACAGCCTGCACAGCCTGGTCCACGAGTGTGGGAGGAGGTACTGTGCCTTTAATAACAGGGCCTCAGGGGAAGAGCAGCAGGGACAGCTGGCAGAGCTCATGGCCCTGGTGAGGGGGCTGGAGCAGGAGTGTGAGGGCTCTTTCCATAGCAACGACCTCTTCCTTCATGCCCAGGAGCTCCTTAATGGTGGCTGCAGTGAGTACCAGGAAGCCTACAGGTACTACCTGGCCAAGGTGAGGCAGGAGGTGGAGAGGCAGAAGCGGGAGCTGGAGGAGCAGGAGAGCAACTGGGTCCTCAAGCTCCTCCTCCGAGGCAAAGTGTGGATGGTTTTGCACTCTGGGACTTGTGTTAGTTTTGTATTGGGCATAGCAATCCTCACTGTTATTTTTATGCTCATATATTCTAATGTTTGATGCTTTGTACTTTAGAGAAGTTTCTAAAGCGTCCTGCAGGATTCCCAGCTATCAGCATCACCTTCAGAAAACCACGCTCCTGGTCTGCCAGACTTTGCTGCCCTGAGCCTCTTCTGTTTCCCCATTAGAATTCTGGTTGGGATTAGGCAGAGTTGGGGGAATCCTACAGAACAGGGGCAGGAAGGATTGGAGGAACCAGAGGAGTCAGGAAACACAGCCCATAGAATCACCTGACTGAGATTCATGGGGGCTCACAGAGATCAGGGAGCCTGTAGGGGTCTGACCTACCTCCTCTGCATATATGTTATGGCTACATAGCTTGGTGTTCTTGTGGGGTTCCTAACAGTGGGAGTAGGGGCTGTCTCTGACTCCTTTATCTACCCGTGGGACCCTTTTCCTCCTACTGGGTTGCCTTGTCCAGCCTTGAAATGATAGTTTGCGCCTTGGTCTCACTGTAGCTTGCTATGCCATGTTTGGTTGATCCTTGGGAGGCCTCTTCTTTTCTGAAGGGAGGTGTGGGGTGGATCTGGAGGAGAAGGGAGGTGGTGGGGAAAGACTAGGGGGAGGGGAGTGAGGGGCAACTGTGGTTGGAGTGTACGAGAAAAGAATAAAATAAATAAATAA